TGGGAGTGCATGCCAGGGACTTCCCTGCCTCCTCCCCCTCTTGATCTTCCCCATATCTCTTTAGGGGGTAGAGGGTCCCCATGAACAATGAGAAGGCTACAATGGAAAGGGCCCAGATCAGACAAAGACTAGTACCACAGCCCAGCCCACACGATACACTGAGGATCTCCAAATATTTCTTTGGAATTAGGAAGTACTGGGGGGTTAATAAGAGATGAGAACGTTCTCTCAATCAAGCTTCATTCTATTCACAGACATCAGGATCCAAGCTAATGTTTGTACCGGGCTCATGGATAAGTCAATCCAACTGTATGGATCACCTCTGCCTTTCCCTGGCAGGAAATGGCTTTCTGGCCTTCCAAAATACTGATGTGACTCATATGAAAACTCACACCACCATACTGTGGAGCACAGAAAGAAACAAGCAATTTTGTTGGGCTCATCCATGCCTCTTGCGTCCCTAGCTTAGTGGGTTAGGCATCTCGCAATGGAACCGGAGGCTAGGAGTTAGATTCCCCATTATGCCCCTCAGAAGAAGAGTGGATAGCCTTGGGCAAGCTGCCCAGTCCTATAGCATCCTCAGAAGAAGGGATGTTATAGGACACCACTTCTGAGTACTTTACACATAGAAGATCCTGGAAAGGGTTTCCAGTAAGTCAGAAGCAACTTGACAGCACATTAAAAAGATAAACAAAAATACATCTTAATGCTTATTTATTTATTTATTTATTTATTTATTTTCCTTACATCAGTTAAAAGACACTATTTAAAGCTAATATAAATGCTAAAAGGATTGAAACAAATGCCATACTAAACCATAGTAGATAAAAGCAACATCAAAAACACATTAAAAGCAGTAAGGCACAACAATGCATTAAAAACCCCCACACAGGCAGCCAGTCATTAAAGGAAAGCTTCTCTGAAGAGAAAGGTCTTCACCTGCTTGAGGATGGACAGCAAAGACAGGGCCAGCTTGAATTCCTGTGGCAGTGAGTTCCAAAGTCTTGGAGCAGCAACAAAGAAAGTCCTCTCCTGTGTCCCCACCAAATGCAGCTGTGAAGGTGCGGGGGCTGAGAAAAAGGTCTCTCTTAATGTCTGATATCTAACATACTGTAGTGCATCAATGATAGTCTTAAACAGAATAAAAACATTTTTCACTTACCTTGCCCTCTGCTGAGCAGGGGAAGTGATTAATTTGCCAATATTTAGAGGTGGTTCACTTATGAGCTACTTCATATATTGGCTATGGAACAGTCGGGCATTCCAAAATGGCTCACACTAGCTCACTCCCTAAAGCTAGAATAGCTACACCCAGAAATATTTTCTTACAAAGAAGGGCTAAACAAATGGGTCTCTCTCTCTCTTTTTGAAGGCAACTAAAACAGGACATAAGAGAAGTCTATCAAATTATGCATGGTCCGCCAAAAATAGACACAACACGTTTTAATCCTTGGCCCATAATCTGAAAATTTAGGGTTATCCAATGAATTGGATGAATAAAGATATCCAAGATAGACAAAAGTGTATACTTTTTTCATAGTTTCCTACTCTGCGACATGCTGATGGCTGCTAAATCACATGAATGGCTTTCAAAGAAGATTAGACAAACTCAAGGAAGATAAGGCTGACAATAGCTATAAATCTTGATGACACCGTTTTATCTCTAAGAGGCAGTATTCTCTGAAGAAGTACTTAACAGGAGTGGAAAGATGCCATTGCATTCATGTCCAGCCCTGGGCTTCCCAGCTGCAGCTGGTAGGCCACTGTGGAAAATAAAATATTGTTCCGGAAAGGCCTTTGGCTTGATCCAGCATAAGATCTCCTGCACGTCCATTGAACCCTGAATCTTCCAAAATCTCTAACAAGGGAACTTTCCAGACTGCAACATATGATATACCTCATACAGTTTTTGAAGTTAAGAATAAATAAAAAAGTTAAAAATAAAACTAAAACTAAAGAACAAATTCATTCCTCTTTTTCTCCAAAGCATTTAATTGCTGAAGAAAAGCACCCTGCTGGAAGTTCAAGCAGGTGTAGCTATTTTTGTTACAAGCCACTTGCACAACAATGAAGCAAGCAGTCTCAAAATTTTCTAATTTTTTTTAAAAAACGAATCAAAAATTGGAGGACACTTTTGAAGAGACAAAAATAGGAGCAACAAAAGGAAAATAATCAGAGTGGGTAAGTGCAAAGGAGAAAGATAAGTTTTTAGGAAGTTCCTTCAAACTGGGAAGAGCAGCGACAATCTTGTCTTGGAAGCTCTGTCCAGCAGGGTGAGGCAGGCTACGCTTAATTTCAGCACAGAGAAAAATGCATTCTTCACATGCTCAGAGGTAATCCCGCTTTTATATTTGATTCCAGTGTCGGCAGACTGGAGCCACGGCTCTGAAATTAGCCGCTCCCGGGAGTCAAGAGAGGTAACGTTTTACCTCAGGTCTAGCAACTCTACCTGGGGTTTCCTTTTGTTTTGCCAACCTCACCCGCTACAATCACGGGCTCATCCCACGAAGGAGCGAGTCAGCCGCGTCCGCCGCTGGCTCTCCCGCTTCCACGCAGTTACACGGCCAAACGCCCCCCCTCCAGACACCCGCTCTCCAGCCGACTTAGGCACTGCCCCGAAGAGAGAAGGGGCGAGGGAAACACCCGCCTGACCAAAAGGGGCCGTCGAGAAAAGAAGAGGCGGGGGCAGCCGCGGTGGCGGGAGCCCTTGGGCGCGGAGGCCGGGGCGCTCTTCTCAACCCCCCACCCCCACCCTCACCCCAGCAAAAAAGCCGGCCACTGCCGGAGCCTCCGCTGACCCTCCGGCGGGCGCCGCCCGCTGCTTCTCTCGCGGCGGCATACACTCGCTGCCTATTTTAGTCAACGCCGTCGCGCCGCGCTCCCGCACCGGCCCCGGCGGTGGCGCCTGACGCGGCAGCGAGCAGGAGCTGCAAAAAGAGGGACGCCGGGAGAGCGGACAAACTTCAAGCGAGGAAGGCGGCGAAGGTAACCGAGGGTGGGGAGGGGAGGACAAGAGCGGACCCTGAGGGACTAAAGGAAGGCGAGGCGGGTCTCCCTCTCCGGCGCGGCTCCTGCCGAAGTCACCCAGAGAGAGAGAGAGAGAGAGAGAGAGGCGGGCGCCGGCTGTCGCTGCCCTTCTCCCCTCTCTCGCCATATAGGGACTCCCTGCCCAGCCGAGCGCTGCCACACGGTCTGTTGCCCGCGCGGGAAAGCCTGCAGGGCTGGGGAGGGTCCCCGGGAGCCCCACCCTCGGCAGCCCGAAGCTCCGACGTGAGGGGCGGCGTGGGGGAGGGGGGAGAGAGAGAGAGAGAAAGAGGGGAGAAACGCGCTCTCGACGCGCCCCGAGAGGAGACCTCCTTCGCCCTCTTGGCGCCGCCAAGAAGCACCTCTGCCCCGCGAAGCCCCCTCGGCGGAGCGAGCCTCTCTCTTTTTTTCTCCTCAGCCGCTGCGCGACTCGGCCTCCCCTCCAGGGGCAAGGCTAGCGGGCGTCCCGGCGAGCGCGGTGCGGTGCCCGTCTCCTGCCCCTAGGAAGGAAGAGGGAGAAGGAGAAGGTGGTGGTGCTGCTGGGGAACCAGCCCTCCTCAGCCCTTTCCGTCTGCCTCGGGGAGATAAAAGAGGGCTGGCAGGCATGCAGAGCTTTTGGTTTTAGGCTCTTCCTCATTCTGCGGCAGAGCAAATGAAATAAAATAGGAGGGAAAAAACTTCCCGTCAGGTTAACGGAGGGGCGGCGAGTAGAATGAGGAATATATATATTGCAGCAGAAACAAGGAGTTGAACATTCATCTGAAGAAGTCACCTGCGATCCCTAAAACGGACTCTAAATAAACCTTGGCATTCAGGTGCTATGAATGGAAGGAAGTCTATTCTAACTTACACATACTTTTTCTAGGGGTTCCTAAGTATGAAGCATTCCAAAGTGTTTTTGGATATTTGTCTTTGTGTTTTAAACCAGCTCCTGCTTCTGGTGGAATTTTGAGAGTGGGCAGCTTTCCCAAGGATGCCCAGATGGCAGGACAGGTAGCTCCCACCAGTCACAGATGCTTTGGGTGACCTTGACTGACCCCTCTGGTAGGAGACACTATGAGAATCTGAACTCTGAGCCAGGTTCTCCAACCCGCTGGACTATGTCAGGACTGGAAAACTCCTTAATGAAATGTAACTTTGTCCAGCTCCAGTGGCATGATGGGGAGGATAACATATAACAGACATTGCTTTGACATGTTACTAGCCTTCAACTGTATGTGTGATCTTGAAGCTTCTAATATGAGAAAACTCATAGCTTGAATATCCCTGGAATTACTGCTTTCTGACATAAAAGTTCTTGGAGAGAGAGAGAGAGAGAGAGAGACATTTTGTTCATGCTCAGAGGTTCTTGGTCTGTGACATCAACACTGCAGTTACAAATAAATGCCTGGGTTCCCTACACTGCAAAATAGCCTTTGAACCACCTAAAATCATAGCATCATAACACCATGTGTCAGTATTCTATAGCATTGATGGCTCATGGACCAATTGTGTGGGGGGTGCTAACTTAAGCAGGTGGGAGTTGATTATATGTTGATTATATCCAGAATCTTTTGTATGCTGCAGTCTTATTTCACACATTTTTCTTAACAGCATCCAGGAAAGTGTTAATTCAGCAAAACAAACAAACAAACAAACAAAGTTTCACACATTTTTCTTAACAGCATTCAGGAAAGTGTTAATTCAGCAAAAAAACAAACAAACAAACAAAAGCCAATGGTGGCAATATGCTTGTAGAGTTTGTATAATGTTTATTACAGTGGAAGACTTCCTAGACCTTAGATCACAGAAGTCTATGGCAGGAGAAGAGGGCATAGTGGATGCTCATGAAGCTGGCACATGACACCAAACTAGCTCCTGACAATAAGACCTTTTTGACAATGAACTGGACTGCCTCAAAGGATAGTGGCTCACCTCATTGAAAGTTTTTGAGCAGGTTGAATGGCCACCTGTTAGGCATGCTTTAGCTGTGGATCTCCTGCTTCAGAAGGTGGTTGGGCTTGATGGCTCTCAGCATCCCTTCCAGTTCTACTTTTCTATGATTCTGTGACAAGTCTGCTCACTTTAAAGATAATCAGACATGACATGCAAAGAACACAGCCAAACAGCCTGAAAAACCTACAACAACCAACAGGGAGATCGCTTGGGTCCCCCTTCACTCCTCTTCCTATGCCCGAGCGGGGGTAGGAAGAGGAGTGAAGCCTGATCTAAGCGATTCTCCAACCCCCACTGTCTTTGCAAAGACAGCGGGAATGGGGGATTGCTTGGGTCTCCCTTCCCTCCTTTGGCCCTCAAAAATATGTTAAATATATGATGTAGCCCTCATACTGATCTAAGGCATATGAGCCAGTCAACATGGCCAACCATGTGGGAAATCTATATACAGTAGGTTGTTCCAATGTACTTTAGAATGTACTTTTAAAATAAGAATTATAGCTACTTTCTTGTTTAGCAGCTTGGAAGTCAAGTGTGAGACAATGGAAGTGGCTTGGCCTTCAATCCATGTTTTTTGGAACCCAATTTACTTTCTACACTTTTTGAATTTAGCTTTTAAAATACACAGAATAAAGTTAATGGTTGCAAATGACCCCTGGAAGTCAGTCCATGCCTTTATCTCAGGATTCTAGTGAGGAATATCACACATTTGTGATGAAAAAGTCATCATGAATGGAATGAGTAATATTAGTAGTAGTAATTATATTTTATCCACACTTTCCACTGTAGAATCATTTTCAACGTGGCATACACAAATCATTAGCCACAAAAAAGCAGATTAAAATGTATATGCTTTTTTAAAACTTAATTTTATTTGGAAATTACAGTAAATATATAATTTCATAAATCAGTTTAACAAGATATCTCTTACACCCTTCCTAAAAGCAGTGGGAGTGGAAGATTATTGCAGCTTTGTAATTTTTGAATTCTACAGTCTGGGAGTGAGACAGGAGAAAGCCCTCCCCATGTGTCTGTCATTTGGATCTCCACAGGAATGAGTGTTTCCAAGAGGGTCTATCCTAAGATCTTAATTTCCATGCAGGTTTGCAACAGAGCTTGGAACATTAAGTCAAAAAATAATTAGTGCAAATTAAATTTTATAAATTGGAGGAATAAGTCATTGCCATTCTGTTTAACATGTTAACATACAACATAAAGCCTTAGTGTGCTGTCTGTTGAAGGCATATGCCAATCCATTCTTCCCATCTCTGAAAGGAGAGTGATGCATTAACTCTCCTTTAACATCAAATATACTCTGGGTAGCCCAACCTTGGCCCAGTAATTGCAAGATACTGTAAATACCTAAAAGTCTTACTTCACAAAGCCAATAAGCTATTCCTTACGTCTTCTGGGAATTAGAGTCGACAAGCATCAGAAGCCTGAAGGTTTCTGTAAAGAGCGAATTGATCATTTCTGCATTGTACTACTTCAGCACAACACTATAAGACAATACAGTATGATTAAAAGGTGTTTCTAAAACCTTTTCAATGATGGACCCATATACACTTTAATAGAGCATAGCTTTGCCTTACTTTCTGGCAGCTATTCTTCTTTCCAAATTCCCGATACTCAATTCCATGCAGTACAATTATAGAACAACTGTGAGTGGGGAACATTGACTTCAGCTTTCCAATATCTGCAAAATCATGGGTAGTTTGTTGTTGTTTGTTTGTTTTGAAGCAAAAGGAAAGCCCAATATCTGCAAAATCATGGGTGGTTTGTTGTTGTTTGTTTGTTTGTTTTGAAGCAAAAGGAAAGTTCAGCTGTTTCTATGTAAGTTCATCCACCTAGTTTGATTTGCATGGACACCTCCTGTCCTCCGCCCTGGACAAAGAAGGCCAATGTTATTTTCTGAGATAAGTAAGAGCAGAGTTTAAGGTTAAATAAAATATGGAATTGAATAGTAAGGGTTTTAAATTCTCATTAATCATTTCATTCATTATGTGTGTTTGTGTTATAGTTCTTTCAGGCAGCCAGGCCAGCTGAATGAGAGAGGCCTTCTTGTATATTTGGCAGCCAGAAGGAGATTCGGTTCATTCATCTCACACTAAAGTATAGTATAGTGCAGTTATTCAGTTGCAGGCACTGCAAAGCTTTGTACTGTTGTGACAGGGAGTGTTATATTTGATGCAGCAAATCTTTGCTATAAGCCCTCTGTCTTAGTTTTTTTTTCTTTTCACTTATCACCGATCTGTTATTTTTGTCAGACTAACTTACTTGGTTCAAAGTTTGACATATCTGTACTTTATCCTGCGCAGTAGCTGACACATAACATCATTTTAGAGCACAGACTACCAGGGAAGTAATAACCTTTTAACAACCAATTTCTCAAAAGATTTATGCTCAAATTATTAATTATCATCAAGTAAGAAGTGATTTTTAAGAACCATATCATAAAAGACATGATCCATGTTTGGCTATAGATAATCATCTGCAGTGCGGTTGTTTAAAAATTTGATAATTGTGTATTTATCAGGAATATTCCACCACCATATTACCCCTATCCACGTTATGTACTGTAGTCTAGAAAACTTTAAAGAGGTCTTGGTTAGAAACCAAAATAAAGGACATACTTGACACAGGGCTTCTCAGACAAATAGTTTTAGGGGAACCAATTAAAGATGTGTCCTCCTTACCAGTACTTGGCAATTAACTGGCAATTTAAGAAGCTTCTAAAAACATTTTTATTCCATCAGGCCTTTCAAAATCTGCCAACCTAAGATTCCTAAGAGGATCAACCTTTTGTCCAATTACAGCCTGTTTTTAGTTCTGTTTTAAATGTTTATTATTCAGTTTAATTTGTTAATTTAATGCAATGCACTTGCCTATGCCACGTTTGATTTTGTTCTTGTTATTGTCTGGGGCCACTGGTCAGATGGCCAGTATTAAAAAAATCAAATAAATAGTTTAACAAGTATATCTTGCTGAATTTCATCAGGATGATAGTAGAAGAGGGAGATATTCAT